CCTGGATATTTCACGAGAACCACAGAGGGTATACGGTCCTGTTTCATAATCTGTCTTACGACGGACAATTTCTGTTACAATACCTGTTATCGCAGTCCCTGCGTCCGTCGTTCGTCATCTACAGAGGAAGTAAAATTCAAATGTTCAACGTGAACAGATTGCAGATCAGAGTGATCGACTCTTTTAATTTCTTACCCATGGCCTTGGCAAAATTACCTCAAGCTTTTCAGCTAGAATCGTTGACCAAAGGTTATTTTCCTCATTTCTTTACGTGTCGTGAAAACTTAAATTACGTGGGCCCTTATCCGACAGCCGACATGTACGGAGCAGACGGTATGTCAGTGGCAGGAAGAGAAAAATTCTATCGATGGTATAAAGAAAAAGTCGACAGCGGAGAAATGTTTGATTTCAATCGCGAAATGGTCAAGTACTGTCGGAGTGACGTTGACATTCTGCGACGGGCTTGCCTAAAATTCAAAAATCTCCTCCACGAGGCCACGGGGATGGACGGAGGTCGCGCCGTGGATGCATTTGACTCGTGCACCATAGCATCCCTCTGTATGGACGTCTTTAAGCAAAAGTTTCTCGAGGAAGAGTGGCGATTTCTAATCAATGAAAATGATAAAGATATCTGGTTGAATGCCAAAATGCTGAACGGAAAAACAACAGTTTTTTATGGTGATCGCTGGTTAACCATGGACGAATTCAAAGCCCTCGGAATTGAAATCATCAAGGAAGTTTTTGTCAAATCGCCCATAGCTCGACCTCCTCCTAATGGGTATCAAATTAAAGTCCAGTTCAGTAAGAAATCCATTGCCTGGCTTGAATTACTGATGTTTCGATCAAGATCTGTCGGCCAGAATTTAAACATCCAACATGCACTGAACGGCCGAGGAGAATACAGGGTTCCAGGGACCCGATATCGGACAGACGGTTACGTACCACCGACTCCAGATCATCCCTCTGGGATCGCCTACGAATTCAATGGGTGTCTTTATCACGGATGCCCCGTCTGTTACAAAAACGGTGACGACGTTCTCCTTCCCAATTCGGAGCAAACGGTTTCGGAGCTTTTAGCAATGACGCGTCTAAAAGAAAGACAACTGAAATCTCGCGGACTGAAGGTCATCAGCATATGGGAGCACGAGTTCGATATCATGATTAAAAAAGATGCCGAGGCCAAGGCTTTTGTCGAAAATCTGGAACTGGTCGATCGACTCGATCCCCGCGAGAGCCTGATGGGGGGACGCACTAACGGTTGCATGCTATACAAGCGGGCGACACAGGGCACTAAAATTAAGTACGTTGATTTTACTTCACTTTACCCTTTCGTGAACAAGACGTGTCGGTATCCGATAGGACATCCGGAGATCGTAACTCGTGATTTTGGCGACATCTCTTCTTATTTCGGAATTGCTAAGGTCAAAATTTTGCCACCTCGTGGTCTTTTTCACCCCGTGCTGGGTTATCGAACGCAAGACAAGTTAACTTTTCCACTTTGTCGCACGTGTGTAGAAATTGGTCAAAAAGATCCTTGTAAGTGTTCGGAAGCGGACAGAGCTCTGACGGGTACCTACTGCACACCGGAACTACAGAAGGCAGTCGAAAAAGGATACAAAATACTCAAGATTTACGAAGTCTACCATTGGAAAGAAACAAAACAGTATGACACCCATTCCAAATCCGGGGGACTCTTTGCCTCCTACATTAATATGTTTTTAAAGATAAAACAAGAGGCTAGTGGACGTCCCGAGTGGGTCAAGACAGATGTCGATCTGGACCAGTATATTGAAATGTACGAGAAAAAGGAGGGCATTCGCTTAGACCCTAACAAGATTGAATACAACTCGGGTCTTCGGAGTCTGGCAAAGCTCCTTTTAAATAGCTTTTGGGGAAAATTCGGACAGCGGATGAATCTCACCAAGACACAAATACTACACGACTCCCAGGCACACGTACTTTTTCAACATATGGCTAACCCTACCATCCAAATCGAGGATTTCAACATTGTTGACGAAGAACATCTGATGTTATCTACTAAACGAATATCAGAGGAAATGTGTGACCCGGGACATACCAACGTTTTTCTGGCATCGTTTATCACCTGCTGGGCCCGGCTTAAATTATACGAGCTATTGGACTTGTTACAAACTCGTGTCTTATACTGGGACACGGATTCTGTTATCTATACTCAAAAAGAAGGCGAAGTTGAACCCCCCATCGGTGACTTTCTGGGCGAACTCACCAATGAATTAAACGAAGGTGACTGGATAACAGAATTTGTCTGCAACGGTCCTAAAAATTATGCCTATAAGACGTTCCAGGGAAAGGAAGTCTGTAAAGTCAAGGGCTTTTCATTGAATTATGCCAATTCAATGAACTTAAATTTAAGCAGCATGAGAGACGCAATGTTCAATCGTGACGATCCCAACTTTGGTAATTACCACACAGTAAATCCAAGCAAAATCTGTCGTCAAAAAATCCACAGTGAACTCTATTCTCAAGAGGAAATAAAACAATACGCAGCCGTGTACACAAAGCGTGTCGTGCAGCCGAACCTTACCACGCTCCCCTATGGTTATTAAGGAAAAAAATTCAGATCATTTCTACTTTTATTTAACCTTTTTCTTTGTATATATATATATGATAATAAAAAAACAGAGATATGTTCCCCGATTTACTTACAACATTAAATCATCTCATGTTTACACAGGTGTTGTTTTCTTTCTTTCTTTTTTAAGAAGAAAGCCATTATAATCATACACATTTTTTCAGTATTTTTCCATATGAAGAAAACGAATTTTTCCTTTTTGATTACTTTTTTTTTTTAAAATGTCAACCACATTGTTTTTCTCTTCTTTGGAGCACGCTTGCCAGGTGGTGAAGTCGCCTTCTTCTTTCTACTTCCCACGTATAACAGACCAGATCCAGATTGTTGTTTAATTTTTTCTTCCACTTCTATGTCAGGAGTCAAAGAAAAAGACTCTTCGGTATTAATCCCTTGTTCTCGAGTGTCCTTATTTTTTTCGTCATTCTCTTTCTCCTTCATCCGATCGTAAGTCGTCTTCCTCACGAGTAGATATTCCTCCGCCATCTTCTTTAAAGTAAGGTTTAAGAATCAAAGGAATTACCTCTGCGTACTTCTGAAGTAACTGTTTAATATGGTTGCTACTCACTCCACGATCACAGAGAGACTGAACGAGTTTCTTGTATTCAAACAGTTTTGTTCGATAATAACCGGAAATAGTAAAACGTCCCATGTAAAGATTCAGAGATACCTCCCTGAAAGCTTTTATTTGCTCCTCGGAGGCCATGTCAATAATCTTCTTTCTTTGCGACTTATCTGCAGCTAATAAAAATTGAAGGAATGCTTTATGACGTCTGATCCTTTGTGACATGATGACGGAAATGATCGATTTTCTATAACTTCTCACCTATTTATTTGGGTCGATAAACCACCGTCTCTCCTTCATTCGGTAAAATATTGGTTCTCAGACGTCTCTCTTCTGGACAGTGATTGGTCAGATCCACCAAAATGTATCCGTAAGGACGCTTGACCGCCTTGGCGTAGGCGTCCATCCAATATTTGGAGTGACCGGTAAATACTTGACTACCAAAAGTAATAATCTGACGATTGTCTCTCACGTTTTTAAACAAGACGACATGCTGACAATTCAATAAAATGCTTTTGGCATATATCCCGGGAGGAAAGAGGTTCTGTGAAAGCAGAAAAGCTGCCACTTTGGAATGCGACACCATTGTCTGAAAGAGATGAAGAGCGTCCGGGCTTTTGGTCACCAAATGAATCATATCGTCTAGAATGATGACCGTGTGAGGGGAATCCTCAGACCATTCTTTGATTTCTTCTCTGCTAGGCAGTCCTTTATACGTGTCAAAACCTGATAACGTAGACTTCATGTCCTCGACAATCGGTTGCTCCTCCATGTAACAATAAACTATTTTGTTAGGTGTAACATCAAACATCTCAGAACCGTGTTCCAATAATTTCCACACCCAGTATGTCTTTCCAGACATGGTCCCCCCTATGACGGCAAACGACGTTGGTGTCTTAAATTTCATAGCTCACTCTTCGACGCCTTATGTTGAAATGAAGAATTTGAATCATATCATTCTAATTTATCACAAAGAAAAAAAATCACACAAACACACACGACTGCGTTTGACGAATTTTATTGAAAAAGCAATTGACTTTATTTGCATACATTTACAAGCTAGATCACAACACGTATATGACAGTCACATATTAAATACATTTCTGAAATAAAATAAAAGGAATAAAAAAACCCCATAGATTTATATACGGATATATATATTCATACCCCCCCGGGGGGGGGGGATCTGGGTCTCCGGAGACATGGGTTCCGGTATCCAGGTTTCCGGAGACATGGGATCCGATATCCTGGTTTCCGGTGACCTGGATTCCCGGTATCCAAGTCCCCGGAAACCTGAAAAACTATTTCCATTCTTACGTCTATTTACAATGAAAATACACATCTATGTGAGTCTTTTTTTTTTAATTTCTTTTTCCACCTAAAACGAAATTTCGCACTGCATTATCGGAAGTGAATTCAGTTATCATTTCAAGACTGTTATGCATAGAAAATCCTTTTGCTCGACGAAAGAGGTAGAACAGAACGTGAAAACCACAAGTACTGGTCGAGTCAGGTTGTACTTGGACGTTGTTGTACAGACAGGCAAAGGCGTTTCTATCAATGAAATCCCTCAGTCGAATGTCATAATCTTCCGGTAGTCTTCCAAAACTGTCATAGAATTCACATTCAGTTCCATTCTTAAACCAAAACGCAATCCAGTGAGAACCTCTGTCTTCCATGGGGTCTGTGTTGCAGACGAAAGCGGAGGGAAAACGGGTCACTCGTGATGGTAAAGTGTTTGACGCATAGATTCCTCGAAAGAATGGCTTTAGTTCGGATAGAGAATTCACAATACGGAGTATCTGCTGTGTGTCCATTTTTTTCTTCTCACAACTGTCTGATTTCTCTAGTGTTGTCAATCAAGAGAAGGCCGGGGCATTCACAGTAGGCTATGGCACTTATGGTTACTGCGGTTGGCTCTGAGAAACGTGCGTACACTCCGACGTTTCCTTGATGTACAAAGTTAATATACCCTTCGCCGAGGTCAGTGGGATCGAGGTCAAAGGTATATATAGCATAACCCTCAGGAAATTTCTCACGATCGATGACCAGACTTTCGTCTTTAAACCACCTTTCCGAGGACTGATAGAGGTTACAGAGAGGAGTAACGTAATTCTTATTGGTACCAAAGTCTAGCTTCATCGGACGGACGGGTGTCGGCTCACCGTTGACATACAGGACAATCTCCGATAGATTAAAGTGTTCGAAATTGAAAGGATTGTCCCCGTAGCTCCCATTGACGGCCGACTGTTTGACAAAGGTCACGAACATTTTAGAGGGTCTTTTTCCGTTCCATACGTCGTCCCAGAAAAATTCGCTGGTTTTAGCTGAAATGGTAGTCATCTTGACGTCGGTCCTCAAGTAGTTGTATCTTGCCGGTGATTTGAGGATGGCATTGGCGTGATTTACCTGAATGGCACTATCCACTTTCACTTTACAAGCCTTAAACACGGTGTCTAATATGGTGACTTTGTAGGCGGGTGAAGACTCACCACTCATCAAGACGAATTCGTTCTTCGATCGAAAAAGTCTGAGTTGTACGTCCACTCCGTTGATGAGATATTTGTCCAGATAGAAACAATCCACGTAGAGGGGACCTTCCAGATCAAAAACCCTAGATTGTTGCGTGAAGACGTATCTCTTTCTCAGAGCCATGTTAGTTCCTGATGCAGCGTCTGGGTCTGCTAGGCCTTCTCCATCGGGCCAGAATAACTGAGTCTGCATTTGGGATTTTGAAGCCCCCATTCCGGTTGACAGCAGTACTTTTAAATAAGCTTTCCAGGGATAATTGTTGGCATTGTGAGAGACACATTTTCCGTTCATATAGACGTCAATCTGAGAAAACAGAGATTGAAGAGGCAAATTGATTATGCCCGTCTTTTCCGAAGCAGCCAGAGCCGTTCCGTCGGCCTTGGTGATTTTTGCCTTGAGATATAGTCGACTCTTTCTGAGGTCTAAATACTCCCCCCCATTTCCGGGAATAGAAAACTCCAGAGGTGCCGTGTCCAAGTCAAAAGAAGAAATGGGTCGGGTTTCCTGGAAATAGATTTTGTGTACGGCCACTTGATTGGGTGGATCTGAAAAGAGAGCCAGTTCGTAAGGTTCAGCCATTGATGTATTCAGTTCACTTAAGAAGGCCATGATTTCTAAAAGATAGGTGTTCCCTTTAGCTTTGACTTCTTCTTGCTTGATGTCTTGTCCTTCTTTTTCAAACTCTTCTTCTTTGGTTTCTTTTTATTCTTCTTCAACGCTTTATTTCCTTTTCGGCCTTGCTTCTTTTTATTCTTCAAGTATCCTTTTCGTTTGAAGACTGATGAACGACTGGTGGATTTCTGTCGCTTTTTCCTTTTTATACCCCTCTTGAGGGGCATGTGGGGTTCGTCGTTACGCATGGATTCTTTCAAATCGGATATGGCTCTTTCTTGCTCGGCGACCACTGGCGCCACCTGTTGAATGTCATGTTTGGGTGACGAAGGAGTCGGGCGGACAGGTATCATGTAAGCTCTTCTTCTGTTCAAGATTCCACCACCTTTCTGCGTCTTGCGTCGAATCATGGGAATAAAGTTCTCTCCGTTCTCGGTGTGTTGAAATTGATCCCACAATGCGGTATTCGAAATATAAGTCGGTCCAGACATGTTTTTACAAGTGACGAAACACGAGTGTTAACGTTGATTCTCCCACTAAAAATGAGGCGTCTCGGTCGTCTTTGTCCTTTATATAGACGTGCAGATCTGTAGTTCATTGATGCGTAAAGGAATGCGATAAGGTCGACGAAAAATGAGATTTTTCGTCTGTTCTAAATAAACACGTCTTAACAGTGGAACTTGGCGATCTCCCACGATCGAGTCATCACAGATGGAACTATACACGAATATTTCCCCACTCGATAGCTGACCTATCCTTTCGTTGTGAAATTCCGTCATTTCCACCGACCAATCCCCTGACAGAGGCAAAGTTCTTGGAAGTCGAACTCTAAAATTCCAAGGTTTATTATCGGGATGTATGGATTTACCGTCCGAAGACTTGAGAACCATCAACAGCGACATTATTCCCGAAAATGAAAGAGACGTCGATTTTCAGATCTCTTTTATATCATTCTCCGGAATCCAACTGTCGAATTTCTTTGGCCAACCTAACCATCGAACCAACACCTCGGACTTTCCGCGCACTTTTCGTTTTCTCAGAACCTTTTCAATTCTCCAGGCGGTCTGCTCGTCCTTATTCACTTTCTGTAGTTCGCTGGCGTAAAAACTGCCTTGAATGGGTTCGTTCGTCATGTCCATCAACTTGTAAATCGGAATACCTTGTGAAACGAAACGCCCACTGACAATGAAAATTTCCTCGGTGTACGTCTGATCGTAGTCGCGTTGAAACTGACGTCTCAGGTGTGTAATCCGCACTTGATCGCCCACCTTAAAAGTGTATGGGGTACGTTTCCTGTTCGAGGACTTCTTGAACTTTGTTGTCCTCCCCTTAGTTGGTTGCCTGGCCAAGTACGCATCTAATCTCACTTCTGCTTCGTTTTCCTTGCTGACGGATGAGGGAATTCTTCCGTTCAGAGATCGATTGGGTGTATCGTTGATGGACTGTACCACGTCTTGCAGAATATTCAAATACTCGTACTTTTGTTTGTAGGTAAAATATCTATAAAGTCTTTTCTTTAGAGTCTGAATGTATCTTTCAGCAAAATTAGCTTTGGTCTCGTTCAACGCATAAAAGATTTTGATGTCCTTTCCTTTTAAATACTCTTTGAGGTACCTGTTGTAGAATTCCGTGCCTTTATCGGTCCGTATGGCCTTGGGTTTTCGCGAATCACTCAAGATGTCTTTGAAAGCGCCGATGACAGTTTGGGCTTTTTTATCTTTCAAGGCTCTCACCCATAAATATCGAGAAAATACGTCCACGACGACGAGGAGATATTTAATTCCGTCATTATACTTGGACAGATTCTGCACATCGGCCAAGTCAGCTTCCCACTGATAGTCTATACCTTGTACTACCACTTGTCTTCTTCTAAACCCTCGTCGACGCACTTTCTTTTGCAGTGAGTAAGCGTCCTGATTTTGTAAAAATTTCTTGATTCGATTTAATCCAATGTCGTATTTCCCCTCTTTTTTGACTATTTGATACAGTTTGGATGGTCCAGCAAAAGAAGCTGGATGCTGCGGATCATACCAGATTTTCTTTAAATATTCCTCCATTTTTTTTTAAACAATCCCACAGACAAACGAGTTGAAACTGAAGAATGTTTTCACCCGTCGTCTCTTTTATAACCCGAGATTCGTTGGAAAGCTTTTTTAAACCATTGAAATTTCAGCTGAAAGATTCACAATGAAAAGAACAGATCTTAAGTTCTTTTTACAATCAATGCATTCTTTATGACTGTCCTCTAGATGGCACACCTGCCACCATATTTGAATATACACAGTTCTTTGACCATCGATTATGTTCATTATAAGCATCGTCCAAAGGTTCCCAGTTCCTCAGAGTTATTCCACAGGAAAAACAGGTGACTTTATCACCCAATCCCGTATAAATAAACCCTGCTCGTGCCAAATCTTTTTTTGACGGTCCTTTCAAAAATTTTGGCCACTCAGAGAAAGTGGCCAAGCGCTCCGCAAATTTCATATACTCCGGATACTGCCAATGAGATTCCCTTTGAGTTGGTAGACCTGGAGGAGGTATGTTTTTCACCGGTAAATTCCACCGATCATTTTTACGTGATGTTCTTTCCTTCCATGGATCATTGCTCCTAGAATCGGACAATAGCCAAGCAAAATTAGCGTTTGATTCCGATTCCCAAATTGCTGATGGTAGACGGTCCGATGAGTCTACATCGTTGACACTCCTGATAAAGTTAGGACTGGAATCCGTTTCAACTACGTTAGGTTGGCAGTCTAGAGAAGACATCTTGTCACACCGAGACTCGAGAAAGAAAATAACGAAATCCCCAATAACAAAATGACCAATAACGACCAGATGTCTTTTAGGTTTTGTTCGTAACCAATGAAATCACACCTAAAGTCACTTTTTGATTAAAAACTAAAACCATAAAAATGATACAAAACGATATGCATTTTCTCTTTACGCTTTACATAAATATCTCGGAAATTTTCCATCTGGGGGCGTGTTCTTGATAATCACGTGTTTAATTTGCTTTCAAATGAAACAAGATAAAATAGATCTCCTCACTCTGACATAGAGATACCCTAGTGAGAACATCATGTCGCTTTTTCCAGACCCAACAAATATGTATGAAATGAACACCTTTAGATTTCTACAACGGGGTGCCTGCGTCAAGAAATTTATCGAAGACTATATCGTTCAGAATCCTAATACAAAAACCTGTCAATTCTGTCGAAAACAATATAACTTGCGTACCCAATTCCTTCACGAAAAAGATTGCGTTGTTCGACTTCTCTTAGAAGCCAAACTGGATGACAAGAAAATGATCAGATTTTGGATTATGGCTCAGGACATCTTTTTTGACAGAGAAATGAGAAAGGGCGAAGCTTTGCCTAGAGGAGAAGTTCTAAAACTGTCCAGAACCGATGCTATTTCGATGGAACGGTGGCAGGAGGCTGAACAAGACTACTTCTTCGAAATAGTGTACTACAGAATTAATTTCGATGAAGACGAAACACCTTATTATGAGGAACCGGATACGTCTGAAGGATTTAAGAATCCTTATGCTCTTGAGTAGTCTTGAGGGAAATACATATTACGAGGAAAATGAACGAGTGTAGACATTGATGATGATGTATCAAATATTTTGTAAGAGTCGAATAATAGACTTTCATTCTTCTGTTTAAAATATAATGACAGTTTGAATTTCATTTGCTTTTTTAATCAAACTTTTGTAATATGCTGTGTCAGAAAAAAAAAATACATGTATCGACAAATTACTCTTGTTTTTTCTTCTTTGTCCTTTTAAAGATAATTTATTGTTTCGTATTCAAAATCAAAATCAGGAATAAGAGAATATTACTCTATTGTCATTCAAGTTCAGTATATTTCTTCTTCCTTTTCATATTTCACACAAAAAATAGATAAAAAGAAAATTAATTATTAGAATGAAATTTTACACTTAACAAATCACATGTTTTTTTTTTCTTTCTAGGGAGTTTCGTTTTTTTCTGGTTCGCTAATCTAATTACCATACAACTGTTACTTTCACCCAACCCCATCTTGGGGATCTGTTGGGTGTTTTGACCTTCAGTAATTTTCCGTGACGTCAAGCACCCCTTACTATATAAAATGAAAAACAGTATGGCACCTTTCATTAGGTTTAAGACTGATAGAAAGAGAATAAGAACGATGGCTGTACGTCTTACTAAGTCTTTGCAAAATGGACGCTACGTGAAGATCTCAGAATGGAATAAAGAATTAAGAGTAGATCTTAGACAGTATGAACCATGCAACGAATATGAGAAACCCACAAAGAAAGGTATTAGTCTGAAATTAATTCAGTTCAGGACTTTGATGTCGGTGTTGGACAATGTTCAGGAAGCGATCCTAAACAACAAAGAACAGAGTTGGCATCTTGGATATAATGTATTTATCCGAGTGAGAAAAGATAATCCTTGTGTGGACATTCGACAATTTTGGAAGCCAACCCAAGAATCCGAACTCCTTCCCACTAGAAAGGGTCTCTGTTTAAGACCTAATGAGTACACAATATTCAAGGATGTTGTTGGTGAAATAGAAATTCACTTACCCGAATTAAAGGACATTGAACTTTGTAGTGAACGTGCAGATCACCAAAATCAACTGGGAATGCTTCGATGTGACATTTGCAACCCTAATGACTTTATGAATTGGTAAAACGTGTTGAAAGCAATTCATTGCTTTGAAAAAAAAATGAAATGAAGTGACTTAAAATTCCGATAAAAAACATTTTCAAGACTAAAAATTTCTTTTGTGGCGACTATTATGTTTTGTGTATTGAAAGAATTTGATGTTGATTTTCATGCCATCCTTTCCGTATTTGTTGTGAATTATTTCAGGATTGCTTTCGTAAAATAAAATATCTTTTAACAAATTCTGTTTTTTATTGTCATTTCTTTACAATATTTTCTCAGTAAGATTTGATCAAACTATTTATTTAAAAAAAAGGAAAAAATTTTACAAGAATGAAATGTTTTAGTAAGATTATTACTTAAATAAATCTGTTACAATAGCCCTCAAAATACATGGGATAAAAGCAATTTAAAATCGTTAACAGGATAACAAAAACTCTCACTCTCAATGACTTACTTTTGAAAAGAGAATCTTGTAACATTTCTTCACACACACACACACACACAAACACACAATCAAGTACTAAAACCAGATGTCCCCCTTCATTCCTTATTCAATTTGATGTTACAGAGTTTCATTCTGGTGCATTCTCTATTACGATAAACAGAATGACTGACCAATTACCTCCATCTTTTCTCTTTCTAACCGTTGACTTGGATATCCCTGAAATCAAATTCTGCCCCTTCATTTATATCTATGTACGTAATTGTAATTTACTTATTTCCTTTTTATCTCTAATTAAATTCTGTGTCTTTCATTTCTATTTATGTACGTAATTTTAATCTACTCATTTCCTTTTTATCTCTATCCTTAGAGTCAATATTTAATATCATTTATCTGAAAATTAATTGATTCGTGAAGGAGGAAGAAAACTATACGTCACCATTCAGTCGTCCTAATCTATATGCTAATTATCAACGTTGCATACAATTAATCTTAATTAACCCCACACGTCAGGTGACCTTGATCTTTTATCGATTGGGATCCCTAATTAAAATCGATCAGGTTTAATGTATTCACCCCTCTGACCTTCATTTACATAATTGACAGGTGAGCAGGTCTTCATTTACATAATTGACAGGTGAGCAGGTGTTAGGGGGTGGCCAACGGACGCCTATACTACTTATATACTCATGAAAATAAAAAATGCATCTAACCATGTATGAATGTCGAGAATCTTGATTTGATTAGCTGGTTTGACAGACAACTGACCATTATTTAAGACTATTTTGTTCTCTTGATCGCTGACTGGATGTCTATCAAGTAAACTGTGCAATTCAATAAATTCACCTTTAACAATTTTTTGTTTTGTAGATTGAGGTACATGCATACCTAATTCATCGTAAACGCTTGCTATTGCATTGTTTAATTCTAAGCAGGAAACTAAATTAAAAAAAAAAAAAAAACAGTCAAAAAAACAGTTTCAAAAAACAGTCCTTCTCGCACAGCTGATTTGTGAAATGTTTACAACCGTTGTACTGTACAGCGTGACGTAATGTAAGTCAAAAAATATGACGACACAATGCCTAGGTACAGGAAAATTTTTCCCGCAGTTTTATTGAGTACAAGTGAACTAGAGTTATGTTTACATTGCTATAATAATTTGATTTATTTTGTAGTGAAAATAAATTGTATTAAGTCAAGGGTCATATCACAAACATGATTTAAATGCCACTGTTTGTCAGGACTTGTGTAGTATAGTGGTTAGCGTGCTAGTCTCGAAAGAAAATGATACTCAGGTTTTTTTTGCTAGGGTTCGAACCCCACGAATACCACATTAATTTTTTAAATAAAAGAATAAAATTTTCCGAGAAAATTTTCCTCAGAAAAGTTTTGTTTATCACAATTTCATAAATTTCAATAATGAGAACTTTACTCTTAATATTCAATTCACAAACTGAACATGATTTTTATATTTCTGAAGCTATAGGCTTTCTGCACGCTATGTTCGCCCATCTCTTTAAAAGCAAATCCTTAACATGATTTCGACGGTAGCTTGCAAATTCCAAGAATGATTCTAAATGCTTTTTCTCTTTTGGGAAAGACCACTTTTTTAAAATAATTTCTACACTTCAGAATTGACTGAAACACCATTTTGATTGGCCAATTTTCCTAGAAATTTGATTTCTCTCCGATATAATTCCAGTGGCGTAGCTTCCATTGAAGCACGGAAGCACGTGCTTCCACATTGTTCGGTGGGGAAAAATGAATTTTAAAAAAGTTAAAATGCTTTTCAAAAATAAATTTAAAAACACCAGTGGCGTAGCTTGGGGTCGATCAATGTGGAAGCATAAAATGGCGGGGGGGGGGGGGGAGGGGCAGCATAAGGCCCCAGTGGGACCAAGGCGAAGTCCTGGGGGACTCTGGTTGCGAAGCCCCTGGAAGCTTGTGCATTTTAGACAAGTGACAAAAGACTTTAAAAGGTTTATTATAATATTTTAAACCGTGAAATGTTAATCAATATTTTTTTTTTCTAATTTATATACTATGTGTAGCTATTATTCATATAATATATATTGTCATAAATGCGTTTTCAGCGAGGAAGAAATCTTACAGACGACACAGCGGCAGTTCTCCCAGATGTCCTTATTATTAGCCTGTTATAGGAATACATGCATTTTACATATAATCAATGTTATACAGTTTTCACAAGTATGTATTATCCTTTATAAAATGCTTCTGAAATTTCAATCATACATGCATGTTTTCCTGAACTTTGAGTCTTATAAATTATATATAGAAATGATATTCATAAATTAATAAAATCAAAACATTAAACAAATAATGCAAAATTTTGCTGCAGTTCAGTATTTTCTTCGGAGAGTGTTTTTAAATTTATTTTTGAAAAGCATTTTAACTTTTTTAAAATTCATTTCCCCCCCCCCCCCCGAACAATGTGGAAGCATGTGCTTCCGTGCTTCAATGGAAGCTACGCCACTGATTACAATGTATAGGAATGATTGAAATAGAATATGGCCATAGATACGAATATACAGTACATGCCTGACTTCAATGTTGTATTGTTGTATGAAACAGTTTCTTTAATGTGAATGTTACAGGCTGTATGTCGATATGTGTGATAAAACACAACATGGAAAATGTCTAGTTTG